ATGGATTTTTATTTGCGCGAAAATTGCAATGCTGAGAGCATCTAGGATTATCGATACCTAAGCACTTTGCTTCCAAAACTACTTGAAACAGTTCATCCATGCTTGATATGATAGCCTTTTAAATGTTATCCTGTAGCGCAAAAAGCAAGTTGAATGGTTTTTATGATCTGTAGTCACTTTGAACCATGCAAATTTTTGAAGATAAAAAACGCCCATGACTTCCTTCCCAAAAGCATTCTGCAGATTGGAAGTCAGATTTGAAATCAGCTTTCAAGCCCTTCGTAATGATTTGCATCTTGAAGTGATCGCCACTTCGACTACGCGAGCATTCCTTGTTAGGGCGAAGCCCCATACCATAAAGCTACAGTAATCTTGCATGAAAGCCATGACCATGCGAATTTGGTATGTTTTTCGTAATCAGCATGTCAGATAACCCCTCTACCAAGTTTCAGCCAAAATTCTGATGACTTATGATTTTCTTTCTCACATCATTTGCTTACCGTAACCTTCGCTGTGACGTCAGAATTTGGCAGAACAGCAGCTGTGCTTGTTGCTTACGTCGTAATTTATGTATTGGCAGAATTTGAGCGCGTTATATTCAACAAGAGGAAAGTTATTGAAGGAATTGCAAAACTTAGTTTTCAACCTAATTATAAATTCATTAGTACGGTCACGAGAAGTAACTTACTTCACACTATTGACACGAACTCCTTTTTTAATGTAGTGAACTGCTACATTGCGAGTGAGCTGGTCTTGAGCGGCCTTCGAAATACTGTAAAACGGAAACGGCATGGCCTAAAGTTCATAAATTGTAAAAAACTATGAACCTTCATTCAGTGAAACACACTTACGACGCCATTGTTCAGCCCGGCAATACTGCCTACATTCACGATCTCGCCCTGAGACTTGATAAGTTGTGGATAGGCGAGTTGGCAGAGGCGAAGAACGCTAAAATACTAGTAAAGTAAGATTCAGTTGTTCATAAACACATTATACCATCTTGTATTTAGCTTTAAAGTATAGTCGAATGCAGCAAGATCGCCCTCCAGCTCACTCACGAACATCTCTCCATGTGTTCCTCCTGCATTGTTGACCTATCGAGCTATGCTTAGAGGCCTGTACAAAATTTCTACCGTTCTCACCAGCACATTCAATCCACGAAACTTTTCTATAGTTTTGTCGACTGTCTGCTTCATGACTTCATCATCGCAAATGTCACCAATGACAACCAAGACCTTCTCCTCATCATTGCCATTCTCAGCTAATAGAAGCTTTCTGGTCTCCTTAATGACACTAGAATAAGGCAGAAACTACTGTCTGAGCATGATTATCAGAGATTCCAAGCTTAAGCCTTTCAACCATTTAAGCTTAAACTTTTTGGCAGTCATAGAAGCTTGTTACCTTTGCATAAAATCATATTTTGATTTTCATTGAAAAAGCCATTTAAAAAAATCAGCAAAAAACACAGGGCTTTCCATCCTTTTTCATACGTCTTTTATACTTTCCGGTTTCAGAACTAACAATAAGAAAAGCACCCGTAACTTTTTTGTTGTCTCTCATCAGCAGGTAGTTCCCAAAATACTTATCAGCGAAATGTTTTCATGAACTCGGAAGCGCAAGGAAACTCAAATTTGTCCAAGATTGTTCAAAGGAGAACTCATGCCAGAATCTTGATTAGTGGTGTAAGCAAAAAAGGCAATGAGAAGGACGAGATTCAATGTTGCATGTTGCCATGAACTGAGCTTTCTTCTGAAATCTTGTTGCATCAAAGGTCGGTTACAAACGTTAAATATTATCAGCGTTCGTCTCAGTCAGAAAGCTTACCTCCAAAGCAACTTTTTTCCTTCCACAAATAGTCACCATCGCTCCTTTACGAGCAAATAATTGTGCTGTCGCTCGTCCTATACCAGTGGAAGCACCTTAGCAAGAAAAATTACTGCTACG